TGCTGGGAGTCTGGGTATCTCTGAGTACCATGACCTCCGCAGACAGTTTGGTGCAATGACAGTCACTGGAATGCTCTCCATCTCAATGCAAAGCAGAAGAGGGAGAAGCTTTAGAGGTGGAAAATCATACATCAGGCGGGACTGATCCCACTGAGTTTCCAGAACCTCCACTGCAAAGGCCTGAGAATCCCTGGACCCAGCGATACACTGTCTAGTTGGTTGTTGAATCTGGATACGGGTCTATGTCTGAAGCCCCCCACCCTGGACAAAGTATCCCAAACACCTCTGGGTAGAGACCTGGATCCTGACATTGTCAACTGAGGAAGTCCACCCGCCAATGTTCCATGCCTAGGATATGCATGATGGTAATAAACCAGAACATAATGTTCTGCCCACACCAAAGTCAGGTCCTTTGATGCATAACTTCTGGTGTCACCTGGTGGTTGAGGTAGGCCACTGCTGTGGCACTATCCAACCGGAGTCCAAAAGGTAAATAGAGGGGACAACCAAATTTCCCTGAAGGCTCCAGTGTAAAGGGAAGCAAAGCGATTGAGTCCCCTGAACAAAGAGGGTATCTGCCTGGGGAAGATTCCATTTTATTATGAGAAATGACTTGCCTGACCCCCGCACCAGACTGGAAATCCACTGTGTTAGAGAGGGCCTTGCTGAACAGGATAGGCACAAGGGACGATCCAGAGACCGAGTCTGTTTATCGCACAAGCCAGTTGAGCTGCAAAAGTATAAAATGAGTATGGTATTGCCTCAACATGAGGCTACCATTAGACCAAGAACCCTCATGCAAAAGCAACTGGAGGGGTGGTTCCTAGACCAAAGGGTCCAGGCCAAAGTTGTCTACAAAGCCAGTTATTGGAGATTGAGGATCCATCCAAAGCTCTGCATTATCCTCTGGACATTGGCTGACAGACCCTGGACTTACTGAGGCTGGTCTGTATCATGTGCACCAGAGGGAAATATGCATATGTGCAGTGAGAGCCAAGGAATCGAGTCTGCAGATACAGTGGCAGCCATGAGTAACTGCCTATTCTACACTATTAACCCATTGGGGCTGAATTATTAGCACACTGGGCCAGGTAAAGGCACTAGATTTGACTAATCACAGCAGAGTCCTTGTAGCAGATCAGTAGGTATACCTCAAAGGGTCCTTAGGGGCATGGCTCCATAGGCTGACGAACCACGGCTCTGTACCTCTAAGTGTAGTGTTCAAATATATATTTATATGCGTTGTGAAAATCCAGGCAACCTCAATTCTTTTCCAGAGAGTAGTGTTTAATGGGATCGAAGAAACAGATGAACAGGAACAGTCCAACAGAGTAAAATATCTAGACCTCAGATGATAAAGGTTCCATGAGGACCCCACTCTAACTACCCAGCATATATCTCCAATCTATATACGCACCTCTGTGCCTCTCTTCATGACTGAATTCCCCTCTCAGACACCTTAGGCTCTCTATTCATATACAGTTTAGTGCCATTCACTAACACTGAATGGATTCTGATTGGCTGGTCTAATTACCCCTTTGATGTTAGTCAACTAAACAGGTTTTGACAAAATTCCATACAGCTGTTCCATTGTGTAAAATCAACAAAACAGGACGGTCACCTGGTCAATAAACTAACAATAAAAATCGTTAGCATAGGTGTGTTAAAAAACAAACAAGAATACAATACATGAGAACACACCCTAAATACACCCCTAATATATCTACTTCAATTATAATCTACAACATAAAGTACCCTACAACTAACTCAGTGTTGCACTTAATGTGAACCATCCACCCCAAGGAGTTAATTAGTCCAGAAAGCTGCAATGGCCATGGAGCAGCTAGAGGACTAAATTCTTTTCCAGAGAGTAGCGTTTAATTGGATCGAAGAAACAGATGAACAGGAACAATCCAACAGAGTAATACAGAGTAAAATATCTAGACCTCAGATGATAAAGGTTCCATGAGGACCCACTCTAACTACCCAGCATATATCTCCAATCTATATACGCACCTCTGTGCCTCTCTTCATGACTGAATTCCCCTCTCAGACACCTTAGGCTCTCTATTCATATACAGTTTAGTGCCATTCACTAACACTGAATGGATTCTGATTGGCTGGTCTAATTACCCCTTTGATGTTAGTCAACTAAACAGGTTTTGACAAAATTCCATACAGCTGTTCCATTGTGTAAAATCAACAAAACAGGACGGTCACCTGGTCAATAAACTAACAATAAAAATCGTTAGCATAGGTGTGTTAAAAAACAAACAAGAATACAATACATGAGAACACACCCTAAATACACCCCTAATATATCTACTTCAATTATAATCTACAACATAAAGTACCCTACAACTAACTCAGTGTTGCACTTAATGTGAACCATCCACCCCAAGGAGTTAATTAGTCCAGAAAGCTGCAATGGCCATGGAGCAGCTAGAGGACTCGAGAGGACACTAGCACTCCGGGAGCAGTTCATGATGGTTGTCCTTTGAGCTTTTGTCAGTTTGTCATCTCAAGGTGGAAGTATAATCCATAGTTAAGCCTGATCCTGTGACTTGAACTCTACAATTAAAAAACAGATTTCAGATCATGATTACTACCCTGCCCAAGGAACCCTCGGTACCACTGGCCTCCTCTTTAGATGCTGCACATGTGCCTGAAGCTCTCCTTTAGTGTTGTGCTCCGACTACTCTCCTGTTATACACTATAATTAGCAATGTAGTATAGGGCTGCAACAACTAATCGACATAATCGATTATAATCTATTGAGAAAGTTGTCAACTTTTTAAATCATCGATTAATCGGCTTCCGACTGGTTGGCCCTGTTCACGGCTCCACACATGCTGCGCGCCACACTTCCTCCCCACCTCACGCTCGCTGCTGCCAGACCCGCCCGGACGCATCCACACGCAGCACCTCCTCCGCGCCTCACACGTAATGCAGAATACCGCCAGCTATAATGTACTATTGCTGGGATTTGTTGTATTCCTCTATAGCTGGTGGTATTCTGCATTGTGCTGTGTAATGTACTATTGCTGTGTTTTGTATTCCTCTATAGCCAATGCCATTCTTCATCATTGTTGTATAATTTTACACTTTTTATTTCACTATATTGCACACCACACTTTTCTTTTTTACTTCCATCGCTCCAAGCTTGCTCCTGTGATAGACTACAATGTCAATACAAACTAGTAGTCCCATCACTAGAGCCATTTTTTAAAATGTATTTTATTTTTTATCCGATTAATCGAACTTAATAATCGGCTAACTAATCGATTTTGAAAATAATCGTTAACTGCAGCTCTAATGTAGTATCTAGCTGTAGGAATGACAAGCCTCAGTTATAGCAGGAAATGTTTACTAGAGCTGCAGCTAACGATTATTTTCAAAATCGATTAGTTAGCCGATTATTAAAATAAAAATCTGCAAAGCAGAAGGAAACCAGGAATGCATTGGAGGTTGATCATTTCCAGGAGCCCAGCAAACCTATATCTTCAGCCTATTACCCTACTAAAACAAGGGTACTGCATATCTAGCAAGTAAATCGAGAGTGTCCCTTTTTTTGATGATTGGTTTGCCTGAAACCACAATCTCCCACAAAGCCTAAATCCATGCCAAGGTTCATTAGAAGGGGGAACTAGGGATGCACCAAGACCAGTTTTAAGTAGCACGTACCAACATTTATCTTTGGGTACTCGCTGATACAGAAACCGGATATCCTATTAAGGAAGCCAGGCAGTGTGTAATGATTTGCCACCTGGCTTCCCGATTAGCAGATGATGGAACATGGAGACTGCTACCCTGCTAATCTGGGTGGCGAGTGCTTCACAAGTGATGAGGGAGCATGGAGGCAGCTTTCCAGCCAATCAGGAAGCCAGGGCAGAGTTAATGACTCGCAGCACAGCTTCCCGATACCAGAAGCACAGGTAACGGAGCATTTGGGAGGTTACTTGCCCTTGATACAGATACAAATCTAGGCTTTTGCTGCAATAATTACCCTCCTCTCCACAACATTAACACCTTTCCACCACTAGATGTCCACAAGCTTCCACGCTGCATGACACCTAGGCTTATTAATGCTAGAGGCTGAAGACATCCTACCAGTGTAGTGTCATGGACCCATCCTAAGGGCATGTCCCTACTGCACTCTATACTTCCAATGATTCATACATGCCGGCGTAGAAGACGGGTTTTTAGACCCAAAAACACTGCTCGAAAGTCGGGGGTCGTCTTATGCGCCGGATATACTTTAGCTAAATACAGTATACAGTGCTGAGCCAATCACAGCAGGCTTTGTATTCAATACAAAGCCTGTATTAAGGAATGCAAAGCCTGCTGTGATTGGCTCAGCGCGGTATACTGTATGTAGCTGAAGGACTGAACCCGGAAGATGGACACTGCGAGGATTGTGGACAAGGTAAGCGACTGAAAATTAACCCCAAGCCACACTCAGGAATACCACAATGGAGGTTAGTGGGTGCATTTAAACATTATTCTGGGCTATACTCGTCTTATACGAGTATAGCCCAAAACCTATATTTTAAAACACAAAAAGTAGGTGGGTCGTCTTATACGCCAGCAAATACTAATAAAATATATATATATATATAATTTATTACACACACCCAAAACACAAGCCCAGCTTGCACTTAGACCGGTCCCCTTCAGCCTTGCTCCCCCTCCAGTCATCACATGCTATACAGTATATAGAACGTGAGGATGCAGAGTGACATTCCATCATTGGAGCAGAGGAGACAGGATGGAGGGAGTGGTGTAGGAGCCAGGCAATATCATGGTTTGGGTAATTATACATGTTATTTTAGCTCCCCAGACAAAAGCATTTAACCCTTGCAGTACAAGGGTAGCTCTCATGGCAAGGATTACAATTTGATTTGCCTGCAATTCTGCTTTAAGTAGGACAGTTTTGCGGAGTGCCAAATACATCCCGATCACAGGACCAATGTTTCTGTATATACACCATACACACAGAGTTCTAACAACATTTTATTTACGATGGAAGAACTAAGTGCTTTCGCCTCCAGAATATGGAGGGATGGAGTGTCAGCATGAAGACAAATCAGTGCAGATCAGGGGTCCTCCTGTCAGACGGTCATATCTTAGGGAGGGAAGTCAGCTCAGTTGTTTGCAGAGAAGTACTCTTTACTCTCCTTCACATTGGGCTTGATGGTGCTGCTTCCAGGCCTCCATCCTGCAGGGCAAACTACAAAAGCAAAGACCACAATTAATGCCTGGACAGAGACTTCCAATTCACTTCCCATTAACTCTGAACACCAAGATAACCAGATTGTCTAAATACAAGTCATGTGTATTCTCATTGAATCATCGGAGTGCCGTGTATGTTTATTCCAGATCGGTGCAGTAATTCAGCATGAAACCTATCTGTGCAAGAGCTTCCAACAACAAAGACCAGTCACCAATGCTTTTCCTTGGGCAGGATGCCTGGTCTCCTCTCCACCCCATAACATAGTTTCCTGCAGGAAGCCTGTAGAGCAGTAGTTCTCAACCTTTCTAGGGCCGGGACCCCTTGGTAACATTTGCCAAGTTGTGGTGACCCCCAACGGTAAAATTTAGGGTTGACGCGGCTGCTGCAGCGACATCTGGTGGCGTGGCAGGAGAACTGACACTGCTGCGCTAGGAGAGGGCTGAGGAGGACTCTCACCTTGCACAGCAGAAATCACACAGCAACCCCACAGCTTGAGAACCACTGCTGTAGAGGGTGAGGTTCATTGGGTCCCTCCCACAACTCTGCTCTCTGTACAGAACAGGAATTATGTCCCTGCTACATTTACAGGGCAATATCTAGCTTTGCTGAGGCATTTGGCCTATGTGACATTCTGCCTTAAAGGAGAACTATGAGGCCAGTGCTTTTCACTCACCTCATAGTTCTAGCCGACCTGTGACAATGAGACTGCCACAGGTCGGCTCAGTAGATCGGGAGGTGAGCGAACACATACCCGGTTCGCTCGCCCCTCGATCCTGTCACGGCTCTCTGCCGTGACAGGGGGAGGGCTGGATTCCCCTCTCCGATCTGCCAGCGCTGACTGGCGGAACGGACGGGGGAGGGGGCGGGTACAGCTGGCTCTGCCTCTAGATAGGCAGAGCCAGCTGTCACTCACGCAGCTGGGCGGATCCCGTCGTGATCCGCTCCGGCGTCTCAGTATACCGCGAGTTGTAGCTCACGGTATACTGAGCTTAGGGTAATGGGAGGACACTAGTTTGTGTCCTCCCGTTACCCTAAGGAGAACTATGGGGAAAAACACTGACCCCATAGTTCTCCTTTAAATGTTACACATGCTGGAGTCAACCTCTATCATGGATTTTCACACCACCATCTGCTGCAGTCAATACAAGCAATATGATCCCATCAGGGCCGCACACCATGACACAAGATTAACTTCCTTCTTACCCTCTCCATGCTTGTCAGTAAACTGGAAGGCCTGCACCAGGCGGAGGACTTCATCTACAGAGCGGCCCACAGGGAGGTCATTGATGGTAATTTGGCGGAGGATTCCTTTGTCGTCAATGATGAACAAACCCCTGAGGAAGAGGAAGCGTGGTCAATACTGTATATAGATTGCAGGTATCTCAATGCATCAGCAACAGGCTTACCTGAATGAAACACCATCTTCCTCCTTCAAAACTCCATAGTCCCTGGAAATGGATTGCTTTAGATCAGACAATAGAGGAATGTTCATGGATCCCAGACCACCATCCTTGCGAGGAACATTGGTCCTGAAAGTTGTGCAACAAAAGGATTTGAGAAGCCAGCTTGCTAAAATTAGTGTTTAAATAAGTGTTCAGAAAAAAAAATAGCTCAACATAGATCCACTTCACGTTCTTCAAACCAGCCAACACATACATTTGAATTGAACACTCCAGGATGGAAGGACTTGTACATACTCCCTACATCTGTAAATTCTATAAAACACAAGGTTGTGGAACCCCCCCCCTTTCATACTGATCAGAAGGGTATCTGTGTTCAGATCAGCTGTCACCGCTGCGAAATCCATGTCATACAGTTCTCTGAAAAAACTGGACCCCATGTTGGTGTATGGGGAAATCTGATGCATGTGGACATGTGTCTATTTACAACCAAAATACCAGATTTGGCACAATCAGGTCCATCAAATTGAAACACTGTTCTCTTTTGCAATTTCAGACCTGGCCAGAGTCTGGGGTAACTGGACAGCCCTCCATTTAGACCTGGCTACCCAAAGACTAGCATTGGGCATCCAATCGGGTCGGCCCGAAAAAGTGACAGGCGGACCCAAATCGGACCACCTGTGTGAAAGGTGCCTAACAAGGGCAATTTATCGTACATTTTTCTTCTCACATCCACATATTCTGATCTTTTCAGGAGACCTGGCAAAATGCTGCCCCTAGACCAGGGGTAGGTAACCTTGGCACTTGGTGTTGTGGAACTACAAGTCGCACAAAGCATTTCAAGCCACAAGCATGATGGGATTTACAGTGTCACCAGAGCTGGAGGGCCAGAGTTTGCCCACCCCAGTCTTAGACCTTCTGCTGAGCTACAGGGACAATGATAAGAAAGATTAGGATTAAAGGACCCATCTATCCCTATTGGTTCACCCTCAAATACTGCAATTGTCATCTTCTCATGAGCATAGCATTAGAAGTTCACAGAAATGTATCCTTCCATTCTTTAACCACCACTTCAATTGAATTAAGGGGTACTGTAGACTTCCATTTGACAAAGGAAAGGTCAGCTTAAATTCTTAGTTTACTCTTTGGCCCATTGATTCAGTTATCTGTATGTAATGAAGTCTACTGCAATGTCTTAGTATGAGACCTTGGTTTTACCATGTCCTGCCTAACCCCCCCCGATCTTCCATCAGTTAAAAAAAATCCCAAACACCAACCTGACCTTTCTGCATCCAATTCTGGGGCAGGCAAAAGTAATGTGTCACGAGCAGAGGGGGGACTGTGTTGAAGTCAGCAAGCACAGGGGGAGACTGGACTGTCCTGTGATATTCAGGCCGTCCTGCATTGTACACTGACCACATACCAGGACTTTTTGGCTAGAGCTGGTCAGGATTTTATGGTCTCCAATAGGGAGATTTTTCCAAACCAGAAAATTTGATGGAAATCTCTCCCAACAGACTATAGAAGTGTTAGAATCTAGATTTTTATTACCATCTGCCTTGCTATCTTGACTAGAATTCCATTGGTTTCCAAAGGGTCTCCCATGTACTGCATGCAGCTTCAGGTCCTCCATCTACAGATCACTCGCAGTTTGCACCAAAGGCACCTGCTGCTCCTGTATGATCCAGCTAAGCTTGCTGTGAAGTCTCAGGCTTGCTGTGACATTGGACTATGACCTGCATGTGCAGCTGATAAGGTTTGTATGACCCAGACAGCGGTTCTCTATAGAGTGCACAAAGACTTCCAAGTCACATGAATCATGTTGGCCACTTCCAGTGAAAAAGTCTCAATGCCAGCAGCAGTACAAGGCCAAGTATGGGTGTCACTCCTGCCACAAAATCCAAACTAGCTGTAGAAAGCACTGGAACATCAAAGCATGGATCTTACAGTAACAGGACTTTTGTTTTTACTGAATGGCAAACTTGTACAGTTGGCACAGAATGTAGGAAGCAAGGCAGTTTATAGTGTGTGGGCAACTGACACCCAAGCAGTATATTGCTGCAATACATGCCGAATTCTCCTCATTTGTCCCCAGTGCAAAAAAAAAAAAAATTGATCTGCCAGAAAACCAGTGCGCTCTCCAACTCTTACAAGTAAGCCAACCATGCCTCTATAACAGCAATGAAATCCCAAGCAGTGTTCGTTCTGGGCCACAGAACTGCTCATAGGTGTGTGTGTGGGGCCCATCTGCAGTCTAGCAGGAAGAACACTGCTTGGTAGTCTCAGTGCAGCATAGCAGAGTGCAAAGAAGTCATTGGCTCACTTGGATTTCTGGCCTGATTTGGTTTGTTCCCACAGCATTTAAGGGATACAAACATAGGGGTGGTGCTGTGTGAATGGGAGAGATGTACAAAACCCCCCCCCCCTCCCAAATCTCTTTTCAGCCTCAACACTCTAGACATTGCCATAAAGCAGAGGTATCCCAACTTCAGCACTCCAGTCATGCATTGCCTCATGGGGCTTAGTTTTCAAAAGTGCCAAGGTTGCATTGCCCTGCTGTAAAGTAAATTAAAAACCATTAACCTTTATGCTTTGCAATGTTCAGACTACCTGGGTGAGCCGTCCCTTCAGAGCCCTGCACAAAAGGCAGTCTGCTCGGCTGTAGATTACGCAGGAGCTTTCAAAAACTGCCGTTCACACTAAAGCAGATCTGTAGTCACCCGATAAGAGGTTTGCCGCCACATGGCAGTTACATGAGAGGCCTGCACTGTGCTGGCTGGGTGGGGAATAGCAGAACACTGCAGAGATAAACATTAGCCACAAGTAACAGCTCCACACCCTGCTGCCTTCTGCTGAGTCTTCAGGTCTCATGTATGATTCATGGGCAAAGACCAGAGTCAGTGAAGCCAGAGAACTCATTCTATAAAGAATAAAGGAGGCTTCGAAGTGGTTCGACAGTTCCACCGATCTCAAAATCTGCAGCATTTGGAGTAAAGGTGCCCATACACCTTACGAATAGCGGCCGATTTTCATTTGCGATCGCGTTTTCAGCCGATATTTGTAAGGTTGATGGGCAGTGTACAGCCGCAAATACTGTACAATCGTACAACTCGTCTTTCCAGCAGGCTAGAAAACGTGTCGAATCGTACAATTTTCCCATGGTTGGTGGAGTTTCTGTACATCAAATCGTACATTTAACACTGCTCATGCGTAAACAAAAATCCGTGTGGTGGATTAACAAACTGTGTCCACGTGATTTCTGCTAAAGACCGCTAATTGGACTGTGCGATGGTTGGGGCCGCCGTACGAAAATCATACGATAAGCGGACAAAAAGTTTCCGCCGATGATTGCAAGGTGTATGGGCACCTTAACGTGGATAGAGCACAGCAACCTCTCAACCAGAGTCCTGTGGCTTGCTCGGAGTTGCTGCAAATGTTTTTGCACAGCATCATGCCTTTCCATGGTGCAGGGGGTCCAAAATGACTGAAAGGAGAACCCCTTTGCTTTTGTGTGGGTGTCCCCTCAAAATCCATACCCTTTTCTAAGTTTACATTTTAGACTGGAGTACCTCGGGATGTCGCATACTTTGAACAGATGCAGTGACTGAAAAGGGGTTGAGAAACACTGTAGGAAGTGAAAACCTGTCAGGTGTTGTGCAGTGTCCATTGGAAAGATTCTTCACTTCCTGTCTGTAGTCTATACAAATTTGAGTGAATCTTGCCAAAGGAAAGAAAATGCCACCTTTGTTGTCTCCGGTATGTCCCCATTGGAAGAGTCACGTTATGTTTCTATTCCAGTGACTACACAAACTTTTGGATTTTACCACTTTGTCTTGTTAACTATAGTCAATAGGAGAATGTGGGTAAGAGCTCCAGCAGTGACATACAACATAATTGGGGGTTTAATCTTCCCCATTTAAAAATTGGCTTTAGACACTTTAAGGCACTAGTTTTGTCTTGTGTTCTACTGTCAGCATGTGGTCACAAACATGAGCCCCTTCCAATCAGACTTTCCATGTTCCAGTACTGTTATTTGCACTGATAATTTAGGAAAGCCCCAATGACGACAACTTTAAAAGACCCCTTCACATTCCTGCACGCCACCTCAAATCCCTAAAACCCAGGGCACTCTAAATACTCTTGCTTTACCTATTGAGGGTAAACAGGTTCTCTTTTAGGTAGCCTCACTACAAGTACTAGCCAGCTTCTGTGGCCCACCACTAGCAACTCCTGTCTCACTAACGGGCCATTACTGACATGCAGCCTTGCATATAAACAGGTCCATGAGGCAGCAAGGGGCCGGCCAGAGTAGTCAACATAAGTCTGTCTGCATTTGCATTACATTTATATTGCCTGGAAAATCCCTTTAAGAGCAACCAATGACAAAATGAGTAGCCCATTAGATCCTCACACCTAGTCATTGAACAGGATACAGGTGCTTTTGTTCAATGCTCACCATGCGAGGTGGCTGAAGTGGGAGTCTACAGAAGCCCCGAGGACCTCACAGCCAATCTTGCGGAAATCCTCTGCATGTTCACTGAAAGCGATGATCTCCGTGGGACAGACGAAGGTGAAGTCCAGGGGGTAGAAGAACAGCACAACATATTTACCTGCCAAAAGAGACTTTGCATTAGCTTGCCACAATCAATACAGTAGTCTTGCATTCCATATGAAAGCTAGCTATATCCTGAATAGTAATGACAGGGGAGCCATGGTCATTCAAGACCGCTCAAGAGTAAAGGGTCCAGTGCAAGGTGTTGAAGGCCAAATTGTCCTTTGGCACAGAAGTGCCTTTGCAGACCAAGTTAAAATGAATTTGTGCAAGTGCCATACCCACATCATTGCCCGTCCCATCTTGATGCCAGGATGCTCTACATGTCAGACATTTGCTCCCGGCACCACAAGAGTGAGCGCTCAGTTTCAATGCCATGCACTTAGTTGTAGAGCAGCTGAGCACAACGTTGCTACAGGAAAAGCACACTGCACAGCTTCTACAGCAAAACTCCGGGTAAATCAAATCTTAACCTTGCAGTGGGCTACCCCATGCACTGCAAGGGTTTATGTGCTTGTTTTGTCTAAGGAGTTAAAAAAGTTACTCATTTGAACTACAATCCCAGCTTGCTCTTAGCCTGGACCCTTCAGCCTCGACAACTCCCACTTGAGGCCCCGCGAGTCTTGTTCTATACAATGTATAGGAGTTGAGGCTGAGGGGCATACCATAGCTGGAGCAGAAGAGTCAGGCTGCAGGGATCCATGTAGAAGCCAGCCGGGATCATGGTTCAGGTGTGTACAACTATTTTAGTGCCTTTGCCAAAATGAGCTCTTGACTCTTGCAGTGCGGTGGTAGCCCCACTGCAAGAGCTAAGATTTAAAAAAAGGGGAGGACTAGTTGCTCCTGTGACCCCAGGAGTAAGCATCCAACGCTATGAAGCTGTCCCCAAAGAACAGCAGGAGCTTTGTTTTCTAGCCCATGCCATTTTTCACACAAGTGGGTAATTCATTCTCTCCACTGTAATCACAGGAGAGACAGAAAGCAAGCAGCTGGTATGTGAAGGGATCCAATGCCAAGAACTTGTGAAGACAGGGATGTGTTCTATAGTCCAGAAAACTTGGCGGGGCTGAAAGCCTTTCTTGGGATTGCAAAGCAGCAGAAGCAGTGTTGTTGGGTCACTTAGTTTTCTTTTGCAGATAAATTATGAGGAAATGCGTATGCATTTTAGACGTGTGCTGAAAAGGTTCAGCATGTCTCCATCAACACTGGCCTGTCTATTACAGCTTTACTTTCAGCCTTGTTAGCTGAAGTCAGAGCACAAGGTACCTGAATCCCACCATTTGAGGCTGTCAACTGTAGTGCTGCAATGCAGCAAAAGGATGCCAATAGTCAGAATCCACCCCGGCTGCCTCTGAGTCACCTGAGCAATCGGCGGTTACACAATTCCTCAGCTCTCACTACAGAGCCAGGCAGTGTCCCATGCTGGCTTTAAGCAGTGGGCAGAATTACTCTACCTGCACATTTTGTACCCATGTCCTTTGTAATAGTTAACAGCATAAATTCTGTATATAGCTAGCCCAAAAAGTACAACAACAGAACGTCTGGTTTTCCAGTGCATTGCAGGTACCAGTTCTGGTGTTGTGCGTCCCCCTCCCCCCATGTGCTTAGTGAATGGCGCAACACCACACTGGTGCCCATTATAGTTGCCTCTTCAAAGGCAAGACATCTGCTCAGGACAAATGCAGGCTCTGCTACCTGCTTTGCAGTGCTACACAATGGCTATGTACTACTGCTTCTTCACTGTAGTAGAACATCTACATTAAAGGGTAATTCCACTCTCCCAGATGAATTGGAATGGCTTGACAACCCCCCCCCCCCCTTGCTATACTTGCCCTTTGGGTGAACACTTTCCTCTGTGGCAGTGTAGGGGAAGGGCTTTCACCCCAAGTATAGCGGTGGGCGGGGGTTTAGTCATCCATTTCCCTAAAGTCACCTGGGAAAGTGGAATTACCCTTTAATATTTGCAGGGCAAGCATGTTTAGTGGAACACTCCCTATAAACAATGTCCTTGTGTTTCAGAACATACAGCCCAGGTCGCGCAGCTAATGCAAGAATAAAAAAGTTTCAGTGAGATGGTTTGTTTTTCATGAAATGCCCAAAATATTCTAAGTGCAAAACCCGACGGTGCAAGTTAGAATACAAGAAAGCCATATCCGTCCCCACTCACCTCTGTAGTCTGACAGCTTGACTTGTTTAAATTCTCCATTGACCACTGCAGTCGCCTCAAACTCTGGGGCCGGCTTCCCGATGCGAGCGTTTCCTGCAGACATGATTCCACCTAGAAGACAAAACTATACATTACACAACATAAAACTCCACTTTAACCCATCAACGTGGAACAGGATTCGTGTCTGAAGTAGAGCTGCAGCTAACGATTATTTTCAAAATCGATTAGTTAGCCGATTATTACGTTCGATTAATCGGTTAATCGGATAAATAAAATAAAATGTAAAAAATGGCTCCAGTGATGGACTACTAGCTTGTATTGAGATTGCACTCCATCACAGGAGCAAGCTTGGAGCGGTGGAAGTAAAAAAGAAAAAAATGTGTGGTGTGCAATATAGTGAAAAGGAAAGTGTAAAATTATACAGCAATGAATGCAGAATGGCACCGACTATAGAGGACTACAAATCCCAGCAATAGTACATTATACAGAGCAATGCAGAATTTCACCAGCTATAGAGGACTACAACAAATCCCAGCAATAGTACATTATAGCTGCTGGTATTCTGCATTGCGCTGTATAATGTACTGTTGCTGGGTTTTGTAGTCCTATAGCTGGTGGTATTCCGCATTGCGCTGTATAATGTATTATTCCTTGATTTGTAGTCCTCTATACAGTGCAGTGCAGAATATCACCAGCTATATACCAGGGATACAACAAATCCCAGCAATACATTATACATACAGTGTATAATGTATCGCTGGGATTTGTATTCCTCTATAGCTGATGGTACATTGCGCTGTATAATATACAGCACAATGTACCATCAGCTATAGAGGAATACAAATCCCAGCAATACATTATAGAGCACCATGTGTGGGAAAGTGCAGGCTTACCTGAGCAGTCTTCCAGCAACTTGCTTCTGAGATCGGACCGGTCTATCAGCGGCTGTCATCCCCCCACACCTGCACCTCCTTACTACATCTCCCCGCGTCCCTGTGCCGATCGGCGGTGAATGTGAGGCGGGGAGGAGGTGCGGCGTAAAGAGCGTGGATGCAGGCGGGTCTGGCAGCGGCGAGTGTGAGGTGGGGAGGAGGTGCGGCGCACAGCTTGTGTGGAGCTGTGAACAGGGCCAACTGATCGGAAGCCGATTAATCGATTATTGAAAAAGTTGACAACTTTTTCAATAATCGATTATAATCGATTATGTCGATTAGTTGTTGCAGCCCTAGTCTGAAGGGTCCCTCGCTTTTAAAATCAATGAAGATCTTACCATGCACCCCGACTCTTGCTATAGAAATGGTTACCAGTCCTTATAAAACAGCGGACAGAGGAACTGAAGACCGGATGCAGCCTCATTTACTCTCCTTACAGATTGCATACTGAAGACAAAACTGAGGCGCAGACAACACAGCGGCATTAAGACGCACAGACCGCCCAGCAGAGAGCAATTTGATGGTCTGGCCTGAGATACAAAGGACGTCCGGAATAGTCTGTCAGTGATTGGCCAGATAACGCACACTTATGTATGCGATATGAATGCGTTTATCTCCTACCGATATGCTTTTTTGTAGCACATTGTGGGTCTAAAGCGGAACCCAAAGCTGGCAATAAAAACTTCACCGCAAGCACGATGCAATAAAACATACGTTTATCTGCCAGCACGTCAGTGGGAAGTTGCATTGAAATGGAGAAAATAAGGGTGAATCCAAAACAGTCGTCACCACAACAGGAATAGAGTGGAAATATTCCAGAGGGGAAACCCGTCTAAGAGGGGATATCCTCAAGAGGAAGGGAGTACATCTTTCCAATGTGCTTCCTTACTAGGTGTCCTGAACCTCATACCTGGGCGTAAATGTTATCTTACGTACAAGTTAATTAAACAGGATCATATACAGCCAACACAATAGGGGACCCCCTCACCACCCCAATTCCTTCAGGGCTTCAACAATCATCTGACTGTGGAAGGAATGCGCTTTGTAGACCAAAATCCAAGCCGAGTGTCCGCGTGACCTGACTGCAGTGAGGGCCTCCTAGAGGTTCAGTTACGGTCACACAGACACTCAGCCCTTAGGTGGGATTTACACTTAAAGCGGACCTTTACACTCCATGAAATTCTCCCAATGCACCCCTATATGTGTGATGATTAATAATAACAGACATGTCAGGTGTAAAATGCTGAGAGTGAAATACTGACACTTGCAGAGCATTCACTTCCTGCTCTGAAAGGGCAAAAAAGACTTCAGTTTGCCAAAGCAATGCACACCGGGATTGCCTTGTCAGCAGAGCATTGCTGGGAAGTCTCCCCGAAAGGCATTTTCCTTCCGAGATGTACATCACATGTGCCAGAAATCCAGGAAGTGAGAGCTAGTAATCTGCCCTTAGTAAACATGGCCGCTGTCAGACAAGACAAAGCTATGCAAGGAATAAAAAGCCGGCAATGATCTAGAGGTTTGTAGATTGTCATTTTAAAGATAAGGGTAAAAGGTCCACTTTAAGGATCGGCATCTTCCGTCATCTCAGGTTTGTAGTCACAGTGTCAGGTTTTGGCATTTCTACTGTACCCAATGGAAAGCTCATTAATAGGAGCAGGAGACTATAGGCACAATGCACTTTTTCCAGGTGATCCCCATCCACTTTGGCCAAAAGCACATGACTGCCCCAAAGAAGCGCAAGTACTTTTTGAGGGAATTAAATGGCACTACACAGGTGTGGACCATCACCGCTGAATAGAATGGAAATCTTTATGTTCAGGGCTCATTCACACCACAGCCAGACCTCCTCCAGACCAGATTGTTTCCAGACCCAAAATGCATCCTAATGTATCCCTATGCCATTTCTTGTCTCTGTTCACACCAGCGCAGTCCATTCCAGAAAAATACTGCAGGTCTCATTTGGTCTGGAGTGCACTGGAACTGCAGGCAGGTTCTCTGGTTCAGAGAATGGTGTGAACCGGCCCTGAGCTTTGCTGTGTTTCACCAAACAAAACACTCAGATGTGAAGAGGCTTTTCCTGCCCAATATCAGGGATCAGATTTCCAGGACTTCAGAGTCTACTAAATATCATTTTGGAAGCTTTCAGGAGGGGAAGGGCACAATCCCCAAAATGCATCAGACATTCCTGTGCAATAAGGATTTTAAACAACCTTGCAAGCAAGTGTTACTAGGTGCTCCCAACCACATACTCAGGGTTGCATCTTCTGAAAAGCAGCAGAGTGTTCAGAGAATTGGCAGCCTAGGGTCATACCCAACCCAATACAAACCTGCTTGTAGAACTGGACTACCTTCTTTAAAGGAGAACTATGAGATGAGTGATTTCCACTCACCTCATAATTCTAGCCGACCTGTGACAATGAGACTGTCACAGGTCGGCTCAGTAGATCGGGAGGTGAGCGAACACATACCGGGTTCGCTCGCCTCTCGATCCTGTCACAGCTCTCTGCCGTGACAGGGGAAGGGCTGGATTCCCCTCTCCCCGCTCCGATCTGCCAGCGCTGACTGGCGGAACGGACAGGGGCGGGTACAGCTGGCTGTGCCTCTACATAGGCAGAGCCAGCTGTCACTCACACAGCTGGGCAGATCCAGTCATCTACGTCGGGATCCGCTCCGGCGTCTCAGTATACCGTGAGCTGTAGCTCGCGGTATACTGAGCCTAGGGTGACGGGAGGACGCTAGTTTGTGTCCTCCCGTTACCCTAAGGAGAACTATGGGGAAAAACACTGACCCCATAGTTCTCCTTTAAGGTGTCATCCCTCCACCTCTGGTCTACCTTCAAGGCATCTCCCCCTCCACCTTGGGTACCACAACAAACCATTCTCAACTGTATGGGTCCAGAGCAAAGGCAAACCTACTAGCTGTTGAGTCCTCATAACAGGAAGTGAAGAGAAATCTCCCAAATGAGAGGCAGAAGGTAAAACCAGACAGCGGTTGTAACACTTCCTTTACTTATCCAAGTGTCCTGTTACTTAGACCCCAAGCACCATTAAAGCCAACCATGCAGTCCAGTACATGAACAAGCTTCTACTATTGCCCCCCAATCAGACTGATTATTAGATGAATACAGGAACAGGTTTACCAACACTGATGCAGCAACAAAGCATTATAATAGTAATTTATAGACAAAATATACTACAAAGAAACAGATACATATATATATATATATATAGAGGTGAATGTATACATGCTACTGCATTGTCCCCATGCAGAATGAATGGAGCCTCTCTCTGTCATAGAGCCAATCAGCACAGGTTACATAATATTATCCCAGCAGAATAATACACATAATCCCCCCTTGGCAGAAAAGCCTGAGCAGCACAATGCATGCCATTGATCACCAGCACCCCCTGCACACAATCCTCTCTCACCTCCTCTGTTCACTATCAGCACGCAATGTACGGGTTCCTTACTGACCTTTCCTTTTAAAGCCCCAGACTGTACCACTCGGCGGAGGGAGGAGCCTGCCCAGCCCATCGCGGCTGCCAGCACTGGAAAGTAACGGGACGAACCGTTTATGATGTACTGCTGATGATGGGAGCTTATAAAATTAAGAATGTCTCAATGGCGATGCAGTTATTAAAGAGAAGGTATAAGGTACGGAAGGCCCCCCCCTTTTTCGAGGACAGATAGGCTCGCCAGCACCTGCCGCCTTTTGCGCCCCCTATGAGGAATCCGTCCCGGGCTGAGAGACTGGGGGGTCACGTGGTACGGTGCAATCATGTGATGGGCCATAATCTTGGTGTACATGCACTCTGGC